TGTTTCTGATTTTCTAGAACAAAGTCAACGATAAAAAGACCTTTTGATTAATACAAAGCGGCACTTTATCTAATCTGTTACTATTGTACGAAGATGCCTTCACGTGTTACATGAACGAACGGGCACTGCATTCATTAGATCCTATGACTGTGGAAGCGTGTTTTTCGTGTCTAGAGTCTGAAGAACGTATTCAAAGTAAGCTGCAAAGGAGTACTAAAATGACTCCATGGTATATTTTTACAAAGGAACGCAACCTTTAATAGACAGTTGTTTCCTATTAGCTGCTTCTCAGGATTTTACTCATTCGAGCCTGGCACTTGGTTATGAGGGAGGAAGCAAAATATTGTTCGTACTGAATTTCGATATCATTCTAAGCTTAAATACTAAACAAGTCAATAAACTCCAGACACTGTTTCAAAATATCGATTTTTTACGGGGGTGGAGGTCTTCTAATATGTCTTTTGCGTCATTTATTCAAGGGGGGTCTTCTAATGTGTCGATGGCTTTAGTTATTATTTTGATACCGAATGAAGGTAAGTTGTTTGGAGTGCATAATTAAAGTAGAATATTTTTGTCTTTTTTTTGTATATATGGTTGAATAGAACGTGACGAACTGATCAAGAATATATGGGTTTTGAATTTTTGTGAAGTAAGTTTTTTAAGAGAATAATTTCATCTTTTTCCATTAACCTAGTTTTTCTTAAAAAGTTGGTCAATTACAAGTGCGTTTATGTTTTATTTGAGCTTTAAAACTGTTTGTTTCAGGTTCACTGTAAAAAACTGAAGCTTGGAAAATCATTTATAAATGACTTTTCTAAAATTGAGTTTTCACAGTGAACCTAAAACAAACATACATGTAATTGACTACTTTTTTGAGAAAAAATAGATTATCGAAAAAAGATGAAATTGTTCCCTTAAAAACTTACGCCACAAGAATTAAAAATACACACATTCTTGAGCAGTTCGTCATGTGCTGTCTCATCAGATATAAAAAAAAAAGAAAAACAATTCTGTTTTAATTTTTAATTTCCAGCACCTCAAGTATGTAGACGCTTATAAAAACGTTTATTTTATTGTTTTTTGATAGTTCAGGTGTTCGATGAAATTCTAGTCTAATGTCAGACACTCATTTTAAAATTTTAGGACTTTTCATTAAGAGGTTTTTTTTGAGTGAACTATGACAATGGAGATACTTCTATTTTGCTTTTTTTTTAGCTCTGAGAAATTCATAAAGTCGAATTTGTTTTCTGTAAATGAATTGTTTTTGAAAGATGATCGCCAACGATGAATCATATATATGTTCAGAACCATCCTCGATGATTTGACACGATCATCCACACAGACACTCTAGAAACGAGCTCAAGTAGCTACGTGACCATAAGAAATTTTCTTTTTTCGACTTTGACTTAGCGAACTGTAGCTGTAGTTACACAACTACGCAGTTAGAAGCATACGAATTTGAAAGATTCCTTGATCCAGTTTTCGCTGGCCGGTAGTCAATCTAAAGATGAATGAAATCTTTCGTGATTTTGCTGCCATACTCAATCACAGCGAAGTGAATTTACATACTAACAGCTCAGAACTGAACACTGTATTCAATCTTAGCACTCAACAGATATTAGAGTCATTTCATTTTGGAGTATTTTAATGCAAAGAAAAATTATTTGATATTTTGAATGTTGAAAGATTCATAAAAGGACATGATTTTATTATTCGAAATGAATTCTTCTTCTGTATTTTTACCGAATTAACTGTTGACACTACAATAGAAGAAAACGACTTGAATTGTTTAATCGTTCCTTAACGTGTGCATATTTCATCTACTGAAAATTCAGTGTTCAGATACACAACGCCTGTATTATCTCAAACTATAACATCGATCAGAAAGCAGTTAATTGCAGGAAATTATCACGAATGTGCTTTATTTGGCATTACAAATATTAATAAAAATTCTTTCTTAATATTGATAAGTAAATTTTTAAGAGCATTAGTGATTTGTCTTGTTTAGTCATAATTATGGCCAAATATAGACACTCGTTACCACAACTTTCCGATAAATTCTTCATTAGTAATGGTGGCTTGGAGACTAATCTTGTCTATCATGAACAAGTGAAACTTCCTTGCTTCGCTTCATTTGATGTATTGAAGACTGAAGCCGGATGCGAATGGATGAAAAATTACTTACGCAAGTTTGTCAATATTGCCCGAAAATATGATGTCGGATTTATTTTGGAAAACGCAACATGGCGTGATAATCCAGATTGGATGCGAAAAATTGGCTATTCTGACCAAGATGTGGTGAATGTGAACCGCAAGTCCATTGAATTACTATGCAATATTCGTAATGAATATGAAACGGAAAATTGTCCGATAGTTCTTAATGCATCTATCGGTCCACGTGGTGATGGATATAATCCTCTGACGATGATGTCAATTGAAGAAGCACAAGCATATCATGCGACACAAATCGGCATTATCAGTCAAACCAATGCAGACATGATCACAGCTATGACATTTAGCTATCCTGAATAAGCTATTGGAGTTGCAAAAGCTGCCAGAGCAGTTGACATTCCTGCCGTGGTATCGTTCACTGTCAGAAAAGATGGTAGATTACCAGCAGGACATACCTTGCAAGAAGCCATTGAGCTCGTCGATAAAGCTACTCAGAATTCGCCCGTTTATTATATGGTCAACTGTGCACATCCGAGCCATTTCGAACATGTCTTGAGCCCTAGCGAAGCTTGGGCAGCAAGAATTCACAGTGTCAAAGGCAATGCTTCGAAGAAAAGTCATGCTGAGCTCGACGTAAGCAAAGATCTCGATTCAGGAGATCCAGTCGAATTTAGTGAGAATAATCGAGCACTATTATACAAGCTCAAGAATTTGAACGTATTCGGTGGATGTTGTGGAACAGATTATCGTCATGTTGAAGAAATTTGCAAGGCTTGTATCGGCCCATTCAATCAAATGAAACATTCCCATCATAACGAAACCAATATCAAAATCTTCAACAACGAATGATTAATTCAACAAATTGGTAATTATTGTTGCCTGGCAAGGCGAAAAACATCCTTTATACTATTGTTCTTTTTTTACTTACAAACATAACTCAAACTACGACGTCTTCTGATTTTCAAATCCTTTGAGCTCACATGTAGAATTCGATGGAATATTAGTCAGGTTGGTTTTTTGACATCTTCATGTAACATAAGATCAAATTTTGTCCACTTATATAGATATTCATTTAGAAAAGTTCGTAGAATACACTAAAAGAATTATTTAATCATAACTGACTATTTCTTTTTCAATAATAAATCAATTCAAAGTACATGTGGTACGTGTATTTTACACATGGGTTCTGTATAAATTCCAGTAAGTTACAATTATTTCTAATACAAACTGTATTTTTCTTGCTATGAAGATTCTTCATTGAATAGAACACAGCTAAAATTCTCAAGATACATTTATATAAGAAGTTGCTATTGCAGCACTGGAACTGGTTCGGCATAGACTGGAAATCCACTACTTGGAACTTGTTTAATAATCTTCTTATTTGTCTCTTTCTTTTTATTAAAAACAGAAATGCCACGGATACATATCTTTTTGAGGTTATTCTACTTCAGAGGTCATCTGGATATCCCCAAAATATGAACTCAAAAGTGGTGAATCACTTTGAAAGTGTTCCTCGCCAGCTAATCGGCTTACATCTCTATCAGTGTATAAATAGTTAAGGAAAACATCTTTGAAGAAAATGAATGTTATACAGATAGTCGTCTCAGAGATTGATAACGTTAGCCGATCAAATGTTATTCTAAAAATGCTCGTGTCCATTCAATTCTAAAACGGACAATACATATTTCTCTTGTTGTGATTGACTAGTGTATATATTTCTAACGATATCTATTGCTTTTATTTATTAATAAAGTAGAACAACAAGCAGAAGATTATTATATTTAATATACCAAGTAAATTTAAATAAAACAAAGCTACAGTAATTCTATGAAATAAAACAAAAATAACTTTTTGATGTTATTATTGGTTTTCATCAGAGTATATGATGATATCAATGCATGTTTATACTTCAGTTCATGTTGTATGGTTGATAAATATTTTTAAATTTTATTCAATATCTACACAATGTGTACTATCATGATTATCATGGTCACCGTTATTATATGGTTGTATTTTTAATTATCGTATGTTCTTCTTAAGATTGAAAATAGTCAGTTTAGGATAGAAAATTTCCAACGTTCTATTAAAAAAAACGAACTCTTTGTTTGTTAATCAGCAAACGATGCTTGACTGAAATCATTTGCACATTCGTTTTTTTTTTGATTGCCGAACATTTTTTCTTCAACTCATACGAATACGAGTATCGAATGATGAAGGTAAGAATATATTTTGTCATGTTGAAAGACTAACTGCCCTTATTTATGTCATTAGCTAACAATCCATGACAATACTAATTTGCAATTTCATTTTCATAATTGTCGATCCTATTTTTTGAACTCACTTGCCGGGTTGTGTTGAATGATCAAGTTAGAGGCTTTTTTTTATTGAAGGAGAAAGAAGTCTTTGTCTCTTTATTAACTAACGTGATGCGACAGATATCATTTTCAGATTTGTTTTTATTAGTGCTGAATGTTTTTTCAACTGAACAGCTTAGCGTAGTTCACAGATAAACATTGGGAAACACATTTTATGTTGAACAAGAAAGGACTCACTGTATCTTGAGTAGGTAACGGGCTACCATGATAGCCATGTGTGTATTGGTTTTCGTAATTGCCGGACCGGACGTAGTTTTCAATACTCATACCGAGCCGCGTTGAAGGATGGAAGCTGAAACATTCTGTTTTTAAAACTGATAGAAACAGAAGTGTTTCTTGCCACTCTATGGATTGAAGTCAAGACACGATGATCTTATACTTTCGGTGTTCGAATGGATATTCTTGCGTTTCGAATATACTAGAGGGAATCTATCAAAGCTGACGATTCAAAGAAACTTTTCTGGTCTGAAGAAGTAGTAGGGTATTTGTGTGGTATGTGAAACACCTTTAAACCATTGATTTCCATTTTTTAATAAGCTGAGAAATTTGAAGTGCTTTTTATTTTAATGCAGAAAGTCTCAAAAAGACTTTAGATAGTAAAAAATAAAACTTGCACCAGAAATTGTTTTTTTCGCACAAATTTGTGCGATTGATTTAGTCAATTTTTGCATGGCAAAAGAAGATGAAAACTAAAATTCAAGAGTATTTTCGTATGCTTCATAACCAGGCGTATCTTTCCATAGGACACATCTTTTGAATTAGAAAAGAAAACGGATATCAGATTTCCGTGGATAGACATAAGAGATACAATCGAAAAAACATAATTTCTGATTTTCTTACTATTCGATCACATTTTGGTGCATTACTCGTTTTATTTTTTGATATATTCTCTAATGTCATTTATCATTTCAGTTGATAATCGTGCATCAGCTTTAAGTATATTTTCTATTTGTTCTAAACAAGAACCATTTTTCTTGAAAATTTAAAACAATAGCATGACAGTTTGCGTTTACTTGTGACATATTTGAACGAAGAAAATTTTTTGAAATAATTCATCGAAAATTTCTCATATATGTATCAATAGCAGTAAATAAAACACAAAATATCTCCAGCAAGTATTAAAGTTTCAGTATCCATATGACCAAGTAATATATCGAGCAGTTTACAATAAAAACTTGAGCGCTTTGGTTTTTAGGAATAAAACAAACTGTTGTAAGAATGATTTTCCTTAAAAACTCGAATTATCGATGGAAAGAAAATAAAGTGTGTGCATCTACTCTTCAATCGCACACCCCACACCCTTTTTAGTGTCAATAAACAGCGGTTGCTTTTCGCATTTCTTATTGCTTATAAAGTCAAAACAAAATCAATGTTCAGGATTTTCGGATGATCAACGAACAACACGATATGTGTTAAGAATCTTTTCTATCGACTAGCTTTTGCCCTGAGCAAGAGTATGGTCAGTTAAAAAAGATCTAATATTTTGGTTTTTAATTGATATTTCGTAAGGAAGAGAACTACTACCTACTCCGGCACAGTATTGCAGAAAAAAATGATGATCTTGCATGCACCTGATACTTATACAAACTTGAGTTCGCAGTGTAGAGGCATGCATGTGAATGCACCACTAATTGCACAAAATACACATACCCATACATGTTTTACATAATCTGATGCGCGTAAATTTCGCATGCACGCACAAATGAGTTTACATGAAGCATTCATGCCAACGAATAAGCATATTGAGTCTGCATGTCTCTCAAACTGTAAATATTATGTGTGTGCGAGCGGGTATATGAGGAACAAGGAGCGACAAAAACTAAACCGTTTGTCGTTAAGAAATACAGACGTACAGAGAAGAGTTAATGCATGCAAGACCTAAGCTGAATTTATGAAATTTGTGCTTGAGATTGTTTCATTCCTGTGTCATCTACTTGTATTCGAACTTGACTGAAAACCCTTGAGTATGAGTACGATTGAATGACCATAATCATTTCTGCTTTCAAATATCGAATAAAAGAATAAACATATTGTGCTACTGGCAATCCGTTTGTTATTCCTTCAGTATCATTCGTATTCATGTTGATAACTATGTTTGGCGATGCACAAGAGATTGTCAAAAATGTTTTCTGGAAATGTTCTAACAACCAGTGACAATTGATGATAAAAAGGGTCTTGTTAATCATGAAATACTGTCATAATAATATGTTCGGAATCTTCACTAATCTTCTCGTCTTAGAGAAGTTCTCTTTTCACAAGTAGAAATTGGAAATTCTTTCAAAAATGTGTGAAGATAATGTAGTCTTTAACTCGAATATGTATGATGTAGAAAGTAAATAGATGTGGAAGATTTTATTCCTTTAGTTATATCTTAAATGAACTTCGTAAAAATAATGCGCAAAACATTTTGGACAGGAGTTCTCTGAAAAAATGAGAAGAACATTTTTTAGAGCGATTGAATGCAATAGTAGAAAAAAAAACTAGTTTCAATTTTTAGAGAGTCTTAGTCAAAGTTTCTCCCAAAAAAAGTGGCACATTGTATACATTTAACGAGAAATGGTCTATTCCTACGAAGTAAAGAAAAAATACTTTCATCAAGAACAATCACGGCATTCTTCACATGAATAAATCCTTAGACATAATTATATAAGACAGATAACAAAAATATGAGCGGTATTGATTTTCTGTTGATAAACAAAAAATTTCATTGACATCAATTGAAATCTTACTTTGTCGCAAACAAGTCTTTTTTCAGATGTCAATGCCCATGTTTGTTCGATATGAGCGAAACAATTCTTTTGACTTATATTGTCAAATCAAGAATACGAGGAGGAAAATTGAAATAAATAGCTCCATACTTCTTTATGTTTACTTCCAATTTGCTTCTTTGCTGATATTTCTTCCGCTTCTGCATGAGAGCACTTTCAAAAGAAATGAGATCGAATCCTTGAATAGCTAAAAAATCGCGACAATTAGGATTAGTAAAGAGTAAAGAAGAAAAAAAAGAAAACCACATGAATGCAAGCATCTGTCACTGATTAATATTCAATCCACCAATATTTAAAACCCTTGATTACTCGTAACATATAATTCTGTCATCAAACTTTTTGTCATTGTGAAGAAAATGTAATGCAGGATCCATTTTTGATTCAGAGCTGTAGTACTCCGAAAAGTCTATCGATGGCCAATTATATTTTTAAAATTGTATTAATGGGTGATTCTAGTGTTGGTAAATCTAATTTAATATCACGTTTTGTGAAAAATGAATTTTCACTTGAAAGTTAATCAACTATTGGTGTTGAGTTTTCAACAAAAGAACTGCAAATTGATGGAAAAGTAATTAAAGTTCAAATATGGGATACAGGTAAGACTTTTTATCAATACATGTTTCTTATTTATATGTATATATATTTGTTTTGTTTAGCTGGTCAAGAACGATTCAAAGGAATTACAAAGGCTTATTATCGTTATGCATTAGGTGCTCTACTCGTATATGACATAATGAAAGCATCAACATTTCAAAATGTTGACCAATGGTTAAAACTCATCTTTTTTTTCTGTTGCCTCAAAATATACTTTTTCTCTTAAAAGGTACAATGAGATAAGATCCAATGTGGATATGGACTGTCGTATTACATTGGTGGGAAATAAATTCGATCAACAACATATTCGAGCTGTTTCATCAAACGATGCTAAACAATTTGCTGATGAAAGAAATATGCAGTAAGTGTGATACTTTTTCTTTTGTCGGAATCAATATGTAGAATATATTTTAAAAAGGTATATTGAAACATCAGCTTTGGATTCTACGAATGTTGAACAGGCTTTTCAAAATCTTATTGTTGATATTTGTCAACACTGGATACCTCCATCCTACTCATTACCAAAACTCGATTCACCACCTAAGCGTCGATGTTGTTTCTCATGAGCTTTTGTGTATCGTTATATTATTTACTATTTCTTAATTTGCTAAGATGAAAAGTATAAGAAGAAATTTGA